CAAGGCTCGTAGCCAAGGGGTTCACGCAAGTTCAAGGCATCAATTACGAAGACACCTTTCGCTCCTGTCGCCCGTCTGGAGTCCTGGCGGTACCTCATCGCCCTAGCGACCATCCAGAACTGGGAAATCCATCAGATTGACTTTGATAGAGCATATCTGAACGGAGAACTCGACGAGGAGCTCTACATGGAGCAACCTGAAGGTTTCGTAACGGACGCAGGCAAAGTATGCCACCTGCGGAAAGCAATATACGGGCTAAAGCAAGCGGGACGAACATGGTTCCTCACGCTCAAAGCCTGTCTTGAGGACATCGAATTCGCATGCCACGACGCCAGCGACGTATCCATCTTCATTCGCCGTCAATGAGGGGGATCCACTCAAATTTTAGTGGTTTACGTTGACAACCTAACTATGATGGGAAACAGCCTCGATCTCATCCAACAAACGAAAGAGGCACTGAAGGAAAGGTTCCAACTCAAAGACCTTGGCGAACTCAAGTACTACTTCGGCATTCGTGTCACGAGGGATAGGGGGAGTCGAGCCACATACCTCGACCAGGAAATGTACATCGAGTCCGTTCTCAAACGATTCGGATACGAAGACTGCAACCCCGCATCCACACCACTCGGCACTGACATTGTACTCGAGAAGAACGAGGAAGACCCCGCAGACTGTCCACAAGACCGCATCAAGCTCTACCGCTCACTCCTCAGCTCACTCATGTACGCCATGCTCGGGACTCGCCCCAACATCGGCTTCGCCGTCGCCCGACTTTGCCAATACCAGGCAAACCCTTCACCGAAACACGTAGCTGCCGTCTATCGTGTTCTCAAGTACCTCCACGGCACCTCCAACTATCGACTCTGTCTAGGTCAAAACGACAAGACCGATAGCCGTTTGCTCGGTTACACTGACGCAGACTTCGCGAACGACAAGGACAACTCCGTCTCAACATCCGACTGGGTTTACAAACTCGGTAGAGGCGCAACAAGTTGGTCTTCTCGCAAGCAACGCTCTGTGGCTTGAGACACCTTCGACGCAGAGTACTTTGCAGCCAACGAAGCAGTCCGACATTTACAGTGGCTCGAAATCTTCGCTGAGTACATCGAACACCCACTCGCGAAGCCTGTCCCTCTCCACTGCGACAATAAATCTGTCGTTGACGCTGCCCAGTCACCTAACATCAAGCATCACACGAAACACACCCGCGTCAAAGCTCACGCTGTTCACGAGCAATTCGAAGCAGGTCTGATCGAACTCGTTAGGATTCCCGGTGTCGACAATCCGGCTGATATTCTCACAAAGCCTTTACCGGCTGAGGTACACAACCGTCACACCCAGTCTCTTGGCCTCGTTCCGTATCGCCTCGCCAAGGGGGAGTGTTGAAGCACCTAGTGGCTCTGGCTCGGCGTTCCGCCCGGCATGGACTTAAGGTGGACATCTTAGATTAGACGCTGCTAATACGTAGACAGTGATTGGACAATCATATGTAGTGTTCCCACGCACGGACCTCTTTATGGCAGGCTTCCCCATTCCAGCGGACTTTCAAATTTGCTTCCTTTTAGTATATAAGAACTCCTCTTGCATCCTCACTCTGCGTGCTCTTTCCCTTCGCACTCAGAGTAAGTCCCTTCGTCGCCCTTGCGCAGTATGCACTTATGCTTACACCCTGTATAGCTAATCCCCTGTGTGTATTAGGTTAGATCTATACAGCGTGCTCTTTCCCTTCGCACTCAGACTAATCCCCCGTGTGTATTATATCGTGTCCGCGTGCCACTCGCCAGTTCGCGCTTGCGCAGCCCAGTCGTCGTACCACGACAATAAGTACTGCTGTTAGAGTAATTAGCGATAAATTCCTAAAATACTATATTGTGTTCTCCTCTACTGCATCTATCTTCTAATGTACATAGATCAATAGATTATTAATAAGACTGAGCCTCACCATGAAGAAATATAGTGGGGGCACCAGCACTTGCCCTGCTTAACTGGCTGCCATGTAATGTTGTGGGCCCCTGCCCGAACAGCTTTGCAAGGTTCTGTCAATGTGGAAGGAGAGGCTTGTTCAGATGGGTGCACCTGCCTGCAAAGGCAGCGCCTTCCAGTTCAAAACGGCAAGGCAAGTGCTAGAGGTCCCTAGCTGCCCAACACCTGATGCCCACCTGGCCACTGTGTCGAGGCGCTGCACAACATGCGCGTCGGTGAATGAGCCCTTATATAGGCATAATATAATTTATCTGAGTGCAACCACCTGAGAGTGCACACGTAGTGATTTGACTGGCTCGGCTTGGCCCAGAAGTCAATGGCTTTGGCTTGTAAAAACATAAGCCAAGTTGCAAGCCGCCGCAAGCCATAAGCCAGTGGCTCGGCTTTGGCTTGGGCCGCGGCTTGAAACCTAATTAGGCAGGTGCTGTGGATTAACCTTGTCAACGGTTCCACAGCTGCCACACGTAGATATAGGAGTATGTACAACATGTAAAGAGTTTCTTTGTATAGTATGATGTCTAAATACATACTCTGAGATATAATTTAGATGTGAAACATCAATAAAGTTGTTCAGAAACTCGAACTTCATACAAAAGGAAGGACGCACTGCCAAATAAAATGTGTGGATGCCAGAGACAGTGCATGTGTGAGTGATAAACAGCGGAGGCTGACATGATGTGGCAGACACCTGTCACAGTCAGGGGTGCCAGGGGTGCTGGCAAGCCACAGGAGGTGCACAGCGACGATGGCTCTCGTTGATACCTATCTGCCTGCTGCAAGTGTGACCTCAGAATGCGCCGCTGCATCCACATGGCACAGCAAAGGCAGAGGCAGGAAGAGCGACATGGCCTCGCAGAGTTGCGGTCAAGGGTGTCCAGCAGAGAGGCGGCGGCCAAGTGGGCATCAGGCATCAGGCAGCTAGTAGGGACATCTAGCACTAGCCTTGCCATCTTGAACTGGAAGGTGCTGCCCTTGCAGGCAGGTGCAACCCACCTGAACAAGCCTCTCCTTCCATGTGTGGCAGAACCTTGCAAAGCCGTTTGGGCAGAGGTCTGCAATGTTACACAGCAGCCAGTTAAGTGGGGCAAGCGCTGGCGCCCCCACTATGTTTCTTCGTGGTGAGGCTCAGTCTTATTAATAATCCATTGATCTATGTACATTAGAAGATAGATGGGGTAGAGGAGAGCACAATATAATATTTTAGGAATTTATTGCTAATTACTCTAACAGCAGTACTACATACAGTAAGTTTATTATCTAAAGCTGTGGCTTGCTGGCTTGGCTTGGCCCGGCTTGTGCAGGCTTGGCTTGGCCTGCTTGCTGGCTTGAAGCTGAACCAGTCAAATCACTACACGCACGGAACGTCGGGCTGCACCTCCTGCAGTTCGCCAGCACCCCTGGCACCTCTGACCATGACAGGTGTCTGCCACGTCATGTCAGCCTCTGCTGTTCACCACTCACACATGCACTGTCTCTGGCATCCACACATTTTATTTGGCAGTGCGTCCTTCCTTTTGTATGAAGTTCGAGTTTCTGAACAACTTTATTGATGTTTCACATCTAAATTATATCTCAGAGTATGTATTTAGACATCATACTATGCAAAGAAACTCTTTACATGTTGTACATACTCCTATATCTACGTGTGGCAGCTGTGGAACCGTTGACAAGGTTAATCCACAGCACCTGCCTAATTAGGTTTCAAGCCGCAGCCCAAGCCAAAGCTGAGCCACTGGCTTATGGCTTGCGGCGGCTTGCAGCTTGGCTTATGTTTTTACAAGCCAAAGCCATTGGCTTCTGGGCCAAGCCGAGCCAGTCAAATCACTAGGGCCAGATGGTACGCAGGAGCTTTGAGGTCACAAGAGCATCAGGAAAAACCTCTCCATACAATTACCTGTAATTGTATGATGACCAATATAATATAGCTACAATCACATTGTAATTAGAACAATGTGACAATATATATAATGGTGCAACAATTACTAGCCATTGTTTCCAGATTATGCTCAGTACCACATCTTCTGGTACCGTCATTGACTTCATGCACTATTCCACCCTTGTTGCTGTGCACTGTATATGCTCATCAACAACAACAACAGACACAGGACAGTTGCGGGCACGGCAGCAAGTGGCACATCGACATCATGTGGGCAACAGCCAAGATCAAAGAAGTCGAGGTCGACAAGGAGGAGGGCAAGGAGGACGCAACGCACTGCACCAAGCTCTGGAGCGGCATTGTCGCAAACCAGCTGGCAACCACGGCAAGTATCCTCCCGCCTGGCCATCTCAAGCTGCACAGCGAGCTCGGTCTGGGCGTTGAAAATGACAAGACCAAGGAGGGTGAGGTCCCACTGCACGTTGTTGAACACGCGCAGGTTGTGGCGCTGCAGCTGTACCTGATTATTGAGAACCACGTCGCCCCTGCCGTCCCCTCCTCTGTGTTTCCATCTATGCCAGGCACTGGCCCATATCTGACGCTCGCAAACGTCATGGCAAGGTTGCTCCTGCTGTATCAGCTGCCTACGCCCACAGTGGAACAGCTGGACTCTGCCGCATCGACCTCGCTGTCCTGGCTGTCAGAAGAGCAGACAAAGCTGCTGGAGGAGGTGATCGCACAGGTGGCTGCGGCCGGGGTGGCACTCAAAGAGGAGGGAGAGGACGAAGACAAAATGGACACCACTTAGCTTGTGTCTTGGGCGGTTTCAGGTGTGAATAATCACTCAAAATGCTTGATGGTCACCAGTATCATCACGGGTGATGAACCTGCACAAGTACTGATGACTTACATGTAGCTCTGCAAGCCGCCAGAATTCACTATATTGCTCTAGTTCTATTTTGCAACTATGCAGAATAGAACTGCTCTGACTACAAAGTACAATAGCTAGTAAGCTATGACTATGCACGCGGCGTGAATGTGATCAGAGACGATCACATGACAAGCTGTTGAATGCACGCTTCGTGACTTTTCCGCGTCGTTCCTCTGTCCATGTCACCTCCTTCACCACACGGCTTATTCCTCTCATTTTGACTTTACACAGCCAGCACTATTGTCAACAAGTTGCCATGCTAACACTGGCTCTGACAGACTCAGAACAAGAACAAGCATGGGCAGCTGGCCTTCGAAAGATCAAGTCGCGCATGTAAAGGGCACCTGCCCAGCCTGCGCGGGTTGACCTTCTCTGGGATAATTGTACTCGAGTCCGACACTCCGTGGACAAAGTGATCTGAACTGCGCAACCTGGCGGGATGTCAAAGGACCCCCACTGTCGAGGGTTGGTCGTTCGGCTCACGCTGTACGCAGTATCGCTGCGCCGATATCCGAGGACAGCCTCAGAAGTGCGCTGTATGCGCCGGACCGGAAGGTGTTCGATGCGTACTGCTCTGCTCTGTCACACTTGAGGTTCGGCTGCGCGAGATAACATGCGTTGCACACTCCGTGCCTCGAATGGCGAGCGCGGTGCGCTTTGTGGGATATACTGTGAAGAGGCAAATGTTTGTACGTGAGAGAGAAGCCTTGAAGGTCCGCTTACGCGTTCGAGACCAGTGGCGAAAGTCTATACACTGTCTAGATCTCTAACGTTTTTATGTAATTTTTAACGAAGTCTGGACGGAGATACAGTGGTTTGAATTTTCAGATTTGAGGTAATGGAGACGAATTAACCAACTCATCTAAGGCTCCAACCGTTTAGTTTACGTGTAAACTTTTTTTGTAAACACACAGTAAATGGTTGTAAACGTTTATAAACAGTTTATAAACAGTAAACAAACAGTTATTACAGGGATCCAACCCACTCTAGTGGATTGCGCCAGATTAGCCTCTGAGAAACCTGTGTGAGCCTACTGCTCTACTTGAGCCTGAAAAGAGAGGTACAAATGTCAGTGCTTGAGCAACGCAAGGCGCTTGCTTGATGCGCGAGAGAAAAGCGAGGCCGCAGCTTCTTACTTACAATATTGATGTCCCAAACACTAGGCCCGACTCGGACGTGTATAGATAGTGCACCTACTCATGCGTACAGGGAAGGAGCAATGCGTGCATCACATCCCGAGCACGGACCGGCCATTAGGCAGCATCTGAACACTCCGTACCTCAAGCATCGTGCTATGGTCATCTCTATGGCCTGCTGGTGTCTCCTACGCATAGTA